CTTATATTTCAGTCAAAAAGGTCCCCTTCCTAAAAAGGGAAATATAAATCCCATCTTGGTAAAAATAGGGGTTTGCTAAAAGGTGTGTTTTTTTAGAAGACTAACCTCTACAATCAATTACTTGTAGTAAATTAGCACTCTGGAAAGCACCAGTTTGAAGCTTCTCTTTGCTGCTAAGTGATAGTTTATGGAGGCTAAAGTTCAGTGTAACCTCTTTGGAAAAATCTGTCCCTTCTATTTCCAGGAGGGGGAGTCAGCAAGCAGAAGCTAATTGGCAAGTCAAATAGTAGAAAGTCTAAGTCTCCGATTCCTGGACAGGGATATTTAGGAACTGAAAGACCTTCCTCTGTCTCATCTGTACACTCGGAAGGAGACTATCACAGACAGACTCCCGTGTGGGCCTGGGAAGACAGACCCTCGTCAACAGGTGAGAAATGGGGATTCTCTTTCAAGCTAACAGACTGCACGAGGTATTTATTGAAAGATCAGGTGTGGGCCTGTTGTAACGCTGCTACGTGAGTCAACAGGTCACTGCAAATAGATCTGTGAAATACGGGTTTTTCTGGCGAATGTTTTCTGCTAGATGTCACAACCAAAGTTTGGGGTTTATTATTGGTTTAGCGTACGGATCTCTCATAGCCCATTAGAACGGCTCATGTTTTTGACTTGGAGAAACTCTCTTTAACTCAGGGTCGACACAGTTCCCTTACAACCCGTTGACGATGCGGATGCTGAGCAGTACGCCTCCAACATCGATTGCATGTGCCCCACCGTCCATGAGCCAAGCAACCACTCACCCACAGAACAGGATATGGGAGCGAGAACCTGCACCACTGCTTTCAGCACAATATGAGACTCTGTCTGACAGTGATGACTGAACTATGCAGATTTTTTTTTTTTAATTTGCGGGTCAAAAGAAAAATCTATTTTTGACTTGTGCCCAGAGAGACTTTCCAAGAGAGCAAGGGCCACCCAATGAAGAATTAACGGAGAGTCTGTTAAATGCCTTCTGCACAGGCTTGTGTGTTGGAGGATTTTGATCGAAGAGGTTGGCTTACTAAAGATAAATATGTAAAGAGTTTTTAAAAATGTGGACTATTCCTGTTCTACATTTATTTGTAAAGAAAACCATAATGTCTTTAAATCATTCTTCTGTAAATAGAGAGTACTTTTTGCAGTGTTTTTTCCCTTGCTATAGTATCTGGTGTACTTATGTTCAAATCATTGCCTAAACCTTGGGGGTCATTTTGTAATTTTTTTTAAGCATTTTCTCCAGTGTAGAGTACTCTTCATAAACCTAGCCCTCCTACCAGCCCAGCCTAACCTAACCATAACCCTAGCCTTCCAACCAGCCTAGCTCATTTCCCGTTTAATGCCCTGCCACTTCTTGCAGGCATTGTGCTTTTATATAATTTTTCCCTAGACACATTTTCTCAGTGGTGTACAAGCTCTTGTGAAAATGTTGATTTTTAAGACTGACCCCTTAATGAATCTGTACATTAACATAGTCCAGTTTGCTGGAGTAAGATGGTATATTTCTTCGAATTTTAAATTCTGCCACATTGTAAATTTTCAGTGCAGTTGGTTTTATTTAGCAACACTGCAGAAATATTATTGCATGGGTATGTTATGATTCATTTTAAAAAAGGATAAAAACACAAAAGGAACAGCTTCTGGAGGCATACCTCACTGTTATGCACACTGGGAATTTTAACTGTGCCCCAAAAGACTTAGCGTTTTCTGTTTCTGCATTGTATGCAGTTGAAACAGCCTACTAAATTTTACTGTCATTTAACCACATCAAATGGCTTATCTGAACAGAGGCTCTGGGTGGGTTGATAAATCCTTTAAGAAGAAAAATCTCTACATCCTGAGTTTAAATAAAACAAAATGCTTTTATAGAATAATTGAAGAACACATGAGTCAACTACTTGGCTTCTGTTACAACTAGTTTGAAATAGGTACTGTGATTTTTACCTTCAGTCTACTTTTTAAAGTCTACTTTTTAAAGTCTTTATGTAAAAGTTATTTTAAAGCATGTGTCCCCATCTCAGTGCTCATCCCTGTAAGCAAGTTTTTGGTGGAAGTCCTTACAAATGCTTGACTTTAACTCCTGAAGTGTGCAATACTTCTGAGGTTGAGTGTTTTTTTGTTTTGTTTTTTTTATATGGTACTAGAAGAGCCTTTCTAATCATTCATCTATCAATGCCTGCTATGATATGCTTATAGCTCATGTATACATGCATCTGATTAGTGATATCTGTGGTTCTTTTGATATCCATCTTCAAGAGAATCTTATTTTTTTGTTGTGTTGTCCTCAGGAAAGTGAATTTAAATCTTCTGGGGTAGAAGTACTGATTTACAGATAGCACTGACAAGGGGGTAGGAAGGGGGCCTTGGCAGATACCAAACTGCTTTTACATCTCATTGATGAACACAGTCTCTGCCTTGCAAAGTTATTTGCCAGTCAAAATATTTCATATTTATCCCTGTATTTGCAATTCACTATGTGGAAGGTAACTTGTAGCTGTGTAACTTTGAGCCCAAAGAAGCTCCGCATCTCATGGAAGGACTGTAATGATTTAATTGCAAGCAGGAAGAAGTACAGATTTAGTGATTAACAGCAAATTTACTTTGAGATTCTGTTCCCCTGAAATGTGGGGAGAAATTATAAGGAAACTTACTTGAACATGTGCTAGTGTGTTGCAAATACAGAATTATTTTGCTACTATTTTAAAGATACCATCAGAGTCTTAAGCTCCCTTGCAGTCTTTTCAAAGACTTTCTTGGCCTCTGTTCCTTTAACCCTTCTGGCTAAAGCTAGTGAAATCTTCATCCTGTTTGTAGACCTGTGCTCTTATTTTAATCCCCTTTCCCCCCACCAACGAATACTGGAACACAAGTTCATCTGCCCTTTCTTGTGGATTTAAATTTGTAGTGGAGAGCTGAATTCCATTCTATAACTCAATGGTTCTCATTCTCTTAGTATAACAAATATGACCTGAAAAGAGGTATGTACAGGCGAAAGTTTTTGCTAACTGTACATGTTTACTGCAAAGCCTACATACTGTATATTCATTTTATTGCTGCTGTAGCAGTGAGATATCCAAAATAGGATAGTCACTTCCCCTAAACCAGAGCTTGAGTGGCATTTGCACCTAAGATGTTGCTGCTTTTCTTGTTTGTGATCCAAGTCCTAGCTTCTTCAATGTAAAAACCTTTCCAGAGCCTAAGGTTTATCACAATTCCAGTAGCCTTCAACAATGGAATTACATCTGACCTGTTTCAAACAGGAAGGTGTTCATAAATCATGTTTACAAAATGTAGTTTACTACAACTTTTTAACTGATTTCTGATCAGCACTTTCATAATGCTTTCATCTTGATATGTTTCGTGATTCTGATATGAGATCATTTAAGACTTGAAAAACCCATGCATCGTAACTCAACTTTTTTTTTTCCACACAATGTCTTCTTCAGTAGACAGTGACTTCTGGATTCAGACCAATCAATAAAGGGGATCAGTTCTCCATTTGCTTTTCCTGTGTCTACCTCTTGTTTTGCAGCACCAAGCTCTGTTCGTGAGAACAAGCACAATATTTCCCTTAGGGGGTGCTGCAGGGTTCCCCCCCACAAAAAAAACACTTTTGGAAAAATGTTCAACTCTCCTGCCTTCCTGTTGATACAAATTGCCTTTAAAAGCTGTATTTTTACTTCCAACCTTGCAGAGACCAGACCTGAATGTGACATTGAGTTTTCATCTTCAATGAACACTGACTCTACCCAACCTGAGTACACCTCTTCTTAGGTCAAACTTAATAAGTAAACTTAATAATGACACAAACAGCACTCAAGTCATACTATGGAACCAAAGCCTTCTGTCAGATGAGATGATAAAATGGTGCCTGTTTAGTGCCAGAATTGTAACTTCTGGTTCAATTATCCTTTAACATTTTATTTCCTTACAGGGCAAAACTGAAAGGTGATGGTGTAGAACCAGGTTGTTCCTACTATAGCCACATGGAGGCAGGTACCTTACTGATACTGTGACCTCTTTGCAGCAGGAAGCCTCACCATTTTAGCAGTGGCAGATGGTGACCTAACCATGAAAGGAGCAGAGCTTTGGCATTTAGTACACCCTGACTGGGGTAAGGTAATTATTTTACTTCCAACAGAGCAGTTGTTTTGTTAAAAGGTTCATTCCTCCTTTGAAAGGCCATGTTCTAGTTTTGGATGCTAAAGTGTTTTAGAGCCACCCACTTGATATTCAGCAAACCTGTTTGAGAAGAACATGGAACTAGAGCTATGTCCATAGTACAGATTACACCCTTCAAACTGTGAGTACACCCTGTTCCACCAGCTACCCCCAAAGGTAATACAATTCCAGCCTTAGGTTGGATCCAAGTTCCTCACTCTGAAATAGAAGTCAGGGATACTTAATGGTAGGGTGTACCCTTTTTTTGTGACTTGGCTTTATACTTTTGAAAGTGAGTAGTTTTGTGAGCAGTCAGGAATAGCAGATGAAGAACTTGCTGCAAGTATTATTACCAGAGTTCCATTCTGCTGGTAGTCAAGACTAACTTTATCCACTCAAATGACCACAGCTGGTCACTTTAACTATGAAGTACACCAAAAATTTAAATTCACACTCAGTTAAGATTTCAAAAATTTATTTTGGGCTAAAGAGTTAAAATATTAAGCAGTCTTTCTTGGTAAAGTTCCTCACTGTTGCTTCCCCCAAGAATTGCACCATACTTGTCCCAGCCTGCTGGTACTGGCCCATCCTTGCTGCTGTCAACCACTTCAAGCTTGGACTCTTTGGCTAAAATCATTTGGAGCCCTTTCTCCTCTTGGCCAGCTCAGCCAGTTCTTCCCGGATGTGCTGGACAGAAGCAGCATCTCCCTTCTGTTCTGCCTGCTTCAGAGCTTCTTTGTACACTTGCTTTGCTTGCAGGAAGTCTTCTGCAAGGAGGAGAAAGTTTGCAGGGCTAGCTAGTTACAGCACCAGAGTACCCTCCTGAAGCTGACCACACAGAGGAATGTTTCAGGAATTAGGGAAGTTCAGAAAACGCTTACTACAGGGTGTCAAGCTAGGAAAGCTGGGCAGCTGTAATAGCAGGCCAAGGTGCTGCTTCAGCACTAGGATCTTGCTGAAATAAGTCTCAAGCAGCATACTCAGTCCTTTTGAAACCAGATACTACATATCTGGTCCTCTGGGACAGGCAGGACAAGGGAAACTAGATCTCCTGGCAACCAGCTGGCTGAGTCAGAGGCACCTGTACTGCACTTTCCTAGAAAGGATCCTTCAACAGCTGAATTCAGTTTAAATACAACACTGTTGGCCTAGACCAGGTCAGCAGATCTACTGCTTCAACTAAATAAAGTAACAGCAAACACAACTCTGAAATTCAAGTCTGTGATACAGGAACCTGCAGTCAGCACATACAGGCTGTGCTGGGCTAGACATTGAGTTACCTTTGTGCATCAGAATTGCTGCCAGGTTATTCAGCACCATGTGCTCCTCGGGGTGTTGCATTTCCTTTGCCAGGTCAGCTGCCCTCCTCACATAGGAGTAGGCCTCGTCATAGTGCCCCTGAGCATCCAGTACAGTTGCTAAGTCATTGAGCAGGACCACAGTCTGCAGCAGGGGGACAAAAAAAAGGAAGCCTCAGTGCAGGACACGTTGTCCCCTGGGGTAATGGGAGCACTACATTTTTACCACTGTATAACAACCACGGCACGCTAGTAAGAGGAATATTTCAAAAGTAGTATTAGATAAGCATCAGCATGTTACATGTTCATTCTTCACAGCAAGACAACAACCTAATTTAGTACTGCATATGTTTAGTGCCAGCAGTTGCTTTTAATGCTTAGCTTTCTATGAGAAAAGTTAACTTTTCCTATTAGTCCAACTATTACTACTCTACACTTCACCTGTGGATGTGTCTCTCCCTGAACATCACTTGAGATCTGCAGAGCCTTCTCATACATTTTTTGGGCTACTGAGAGCTGGTTAATGCTTAAGAGATACCGAGCATAGCCATCTAAGCTCATCCCCAGCAAGAGACGGGTGTTGGCTTTTTCTTCAGCTGTGGAGAGAGAAAAAAAAGCAAGCGTGATCACTGCTACATGATCAAGCACAAGCTGATATCCTACACGCATAGGAACCTCAAGCAGTGTGAGGACTGGGGCTTGACAGGAAGATGGTGCTTAGGCAACATGGAAAGCAACAGCAAGGACACAGAAACAGGAGAAAGACAGTAAGTCTTTGGCAGGTGAAGTAGCACCACCCACATGCACTCAGGGAAGTCCCACCTGGTAAGACATCCTCAGGCAAGTCCTTTTCCTTGTCAATCTTCTCCTCTAAGGTCAGGATGCAGAACTCATAGCCAGCCAGGGCTAGTTTGTGCCTGCAAAGTGCAAGGGCTAAGCAAAGCAAGGCTCCCTCCATCTCTAAATGATATGTTGGGACCTTTGTTTCACCATCCTAAACCGTCTATAAGACAACTCTTTCCCTCAAGACTCAACCTTTGATCGTGGACGAGATCTACTCCTCACCAAGGGCAAAGGGATCCAAGGGGTGGAGAGAATTCCCTTCTTGTTCTCTACCCTCCCAGGCTATCTAAAGCCACCCATACAAATGCTCTGCCCCTTGTAAAAATGAACTTGGATTTCCAGCACAGGTACCAACTGCATTCCTAAGGTTCATTCCTGAATCAATGTCTGGTAGGTAGCTATAGGGGACAGAGCTCTATACCCTTAAATCCACCCCTCGCTTCCACCGTGAGCTGGGCACGTTTTTCAACAGCAGTCACTGTGCTATGCAAAAGGAGCAGAAATCTATGCCTGTGGTAACCTTTACATTCATGATTCCTTGTCAAGGCTAAGCCTCCTCGGGCACGCTCCTCTTCAAAGCAAAAGCTTCTGCTTGATTACCATCACAAATCTGAGATTAAGGGTGCTTTCAGTAGGAAACTCACTGTTTCTGAGCAGCATAGATACTGGCCAGCTTGAGGGACATCTCAAGGATTGCATTGTCATCCTGTGAGAAGCAGACAATTCAACTGTTAGTCTTCTTGCAACTGTACAACAGAGCCATTAGTTTGTCAGAGACCAAGTTCAGATTTCAAAAGTGCCAGGTCTGTTGTCTCCAGAGCTGCCATCCACCAAACCAGGTTTCTAAGCAGTAGGAAAGCTGATTTCCATACTGCCAGGTTCCAGTAGGAGGTATTACATAGCACAAGGCAGAAACAGTTTGTAGAGGACAGGAAAGAATCATCTTTCCTAAGCAAGAAGACCATAGAATGGTACATCACACTTAACATTTCCAGTTTAAAGCCTCCATCAAAAGAGCTTACCTCCTTGGTGTCCCCAGCAAGCATATGGCTCATAGTTGCTTTGTACAGCTTTTCTGCCTGAAAAAACAAACAAACAACCTTGTGGAGAAAGCTGAGACATGGTGGCACTAAGAAAGGCTCTCCACCCTTTAGAGAGGGAACTGTGGGGAAAGCTGGTTTGACAGTTTGTGGCATTTGCCTTATATATCAAGGTCAGTCTGTAGTTAGAACAGACACCCACAGAGCCCAGTTCCAATGGGGCCAGCAAGATCCTTTTGATTCTAGCTTAAGGCTCCTACCTCCCAGCAAGCTTACTGCAGCGGGATCCTTTCAGTGCTTTATTAAGCTGTCTGTGTACCCGTTCTCTGCACAGGCCACTGTGGCATTTAACAGCAAGACACAACCCTGCCCTTGCTCACCACGCTGCAGCTCAAAACCCAGCCATGAAAGCAATGACCGGTCACTCTTTCTGGTGGGATTCCAGCTCCAGAGCGGCCTGTTTTACTTCAGCCTGCGAGATTTCTGCCCACAACACTCCGGGTACAGCCCCCATGCCAACCTGGGAGGCCTCAGGTGAGAACTGCACAAGGGCACCAGCTCCTACGAACTCAAGAGTGGGGGGGATGAGAGAGGAATAGGAAGCCGAGAGCTGCTACTCACGTTGTCCAGCTGTCCCTGCATGAGGGCCACGTTCGCCATCTGGAAGAGGAGCGCAGCGCTGCAGCGGCCGCAGCCTGCCGCGCACGGCCGCCCCGTCACCCCATGCCCTCACCGTGCTGTACGTGTAGGCGATGGCCCCGGCGTTGCCGGTCTCGTGCG